GAAAATTTTAACACAGCCTTTCACTTATATACCTACATATGTATATACGTACATATGTATGTCTGTAGACACTTTTTATGTCTTATGCTTACTTAAAATATTAAAAATTTTGAAACAGTTCAATGCTTTGTTTGCTATGAGGTGGCGTTGGCACTTTCGTTTTGTCGGTTTGTCGGTTTGTTAACAACATAAAAAGATCTGGTTGCCCTTCAAAAGGGTCATTTTTCAATTTTTGTACACTGTTAACTGCTGCACCGACGCGTCAAGCTCGTCAACCTTTTCTTACACTATGGACTACGCATTTGCAATTGCGGGAAATATTTTTTTTATTTTCTTTTTGTTTGTATTTAAGACGGCTGTGCCGAAGAAATTTGTCTGTAATTGCTCAGGTGGCGTTAACTATAAGTTCATTTGTGGAAAAAATTGTTTGCGTTGTTATCAACAATTTTTTTTTCTTCGTCACTATCGCGATAATGAATTGGTAATTATTATTATTTGCTTTGAAAAAAAAAATGTTCGCTTATCAAATTACAGCGCTTATTTTCACTTTTTTCACATCTACAGGCAAATTTTTAAGGTACACAGTCTCCCACGAAAATATATGTACAGATATGTGTAACAAAATACATAATAATTCGAATACTCAATTTTTGAAAAAAAAAAACTAACGGCCAACCGAAATAAACACTTATAAACAGAAGCCGAATTTAAACATTTAAATAAACATAAGGAAATAAAGAAAAAAAGACGACAATATCGAAGCAAACGTGCGTGGAAATGAAGCGTACAAAGGCGACTGATAGCCGGTTAGTTGGAGCGACTGGCTGACTGGTTCACTACTTGCTTTATTTGCTTGGTTGGTAGTCTCATATGTACATATGTACATACATATGCTTGTAGTTGTAGTTTTCAACTGTGTTGTTTCTTTCACTTGCCAGACAGAGCTAATAAAATTCACAAACAAAAAGGGAGCAGAAATAAAAATAAAGAAGAGCTGTTTCCGGCCATGCCGAAGTCCTTATACCTTTCACGACCAAATCAAATTTATGCTACTTCGTATTAGAAGAGAGAGAGTATGGAGAGAGGAATAGCAGAGCCGGACTATTTGAATAGACGAGTCACCGGTCCACTTCCCGGCGAGAAGAACGGTATTCCTGTTAATCTAAGCAAAAAGACACCTATGTACAGAATTTCAAGTAAAACAAGCCATAACTAAGATTTTTTTTGAAAAGATCAGTTCCCGGTCCAATTCCCGATTGGAAAAAAAACTATCTCAGGAATCATAGAAATAATCTGACGAAATTTCAAGTCATTCGGATCCTCACTGTTGGAGAACACCCGTTCCGCGGCGACATAACAGGTTTTTTCGAATAGGTTAGACCCCGGTCCACTTAGCCAAATTTATTTCTTGTAAACCTTTCGAAGTATCATGGAAACAATCTGATGAAATTGCAAGTCATTTGAACGGTAACTTTTGGTGATTCTTGGAAATTACTGGACTTTTCTGTGCGGACATAAGATTTTCTCAAGAGCTGGGACTTTCCCACGGCACATTTAGGCGTATTTTATACATAACATTGTTGTAATCCCAAAATTATTCCTCAAAGTAATTTCTGAGGAATGTTGCGGGTATAACAGTCCTTGGTCGGATAAAAAATACTTGTCGTTCCTTAGCGAAAGTAAACTCTTGAACCCCTAACCCGCAGGGGTAGACAGACTTTCACTGTCAATAAGGTTATGGTCGTATGATAACCGACTCTTTTGAAGATTACTACATGGATAAAAAACCGTGTTTATGTCGTTAAACCTTCGACACTTGAGCTATTGAAAACCAATATTCATCAAGTTATGGCTGAAATAAAACCCAATATGAGTCATAAAGTTGTGGAAAATTACTTAAAACAGATGGAAGCGTTTGAAATGCATTTTATTTACGTCTATTTTCGAAACCTCAAAGTTGATAGCCCTGCGTAGAACACCAAATCTCTTCCTTGTAGATGCATTTTTGTATGTTCTGCACAAATATGATGCAGAATACCAAATCACGTTCTTAGACGCGAACATGATGAGAACAGATGAGAACAAATACATGCTATAGTGGTTTCAACGAACCACTGTTTAAATGTACCAGTGCGTCTGCGTACCAAGTATGGTTTAAATATCTAAAATGTACAATCAAACGGACAGACAGACATGGCAAAATCAACTCACTTCGTCAGTCTGATCATATCGGTATACATTTTGATATTTTGATGGGTCTATCTCTTCTCCTTCTGGTATTCTTACATATTTCGGACCAAAGTTGAATTACCAATTTTATGTACATGGAAGGTATAAGAAGTCTATTAAAAAAGAAAGCAATGCGAGCGTAACAAAGCAACTGTTAATATGTTGGGGAGAGAAGGAGGGAGCGGCAGTATGAAACTCTCAAAGCAACGCTAATAACCATCCAACCAGAGTAATGGGAAAAAATGCACTAAAATGTAAGAAATGTATTGCTGAAATGGTATTGTGATTCTTCAAGACTGCTTGCTCTTAGTACATACTTACTCACACCCATACACATGTATAAGTAAGTATTAGTGACGACATTCCAAAGCAGTCGAAGAAGCAATAATAAGAAGTTGTTGAGACAACCAGGCGCAGCAGAATATTACGTCCACATAAAACATACAAGATGAATAAAAACCATAACAACAAAATTGTTATGTTAGCCATGCGGTAGTGACAGATCGAATACTTAGTTTCGGTTAGTGATTTTCATACATACATATTCACAATCAATATTTCTATAACCACAAAAAGCAACATCTTGTACTGGCCCCTCTTAGCCTGCTTTTATATGAGGATATATTTTGTCGCTTGTTAAAGTAATTTCCCCAGCAAAGTTGACAAAAAGTATACCCTTTTAAACTCAGTCATTATAGCAAAATTCGATTTTCGCTATTTATCGAAGAGGAAAAGAAAAGTTTTCTCCCCTACGGTACACTTTGCGCTATTTGCATGACCATGTCCATAAGGTACATGTATACCAAATTTCAAATAAATCGAGCTTTAAATATGTTAGTTCCCTTCAGCACGGTCACTGGTTCGCTTACCAGAAGAAAAGTTAATGTTTAATGCCTTTCCCCTTTTGAGGAACATCGAACCAAAAGCACGATTTTTCCGAATAGATTGGTCCCTCATCCACTTCAACTTACCAATCCAAATTGCTCAGAATAATCGAAACGGTCCAGGCGTTCTTCAGTTTAAGGCGTATCAACATACTATATATCTTTCTTTCACACATTTATATTTTTCAGTTTCTTTATTTTTTCCATTTTTTATCACATGGCGTTTTTTGTTATCAACAACTTTGTTGACTATTAAATTTACAATGTGAAGTGAGAAATTTAAATTCAAATAGATTTTCGCTTGTGTGCGCCACCACTGTATAAGCAAATTAATGTTCGAATGCAACAAGTTTGAATGCTTGTTGTTCAGTGGTTTGTAGCAAACCATGTTCACAAATTGTCCAGCAACAAAATCATTTAGAAAATACAATAAATACAATAGTGTGGAGGCGTTATCAATGTGATATATATGTATATACATGTGCAGAAATATGTTGTAGAGCATCTGCCATGTGAAAACTCGTGCGACTAGTCTTCAAAGAGTGTAGTCGGGCACTAGTCTTATTCTTGCGCTATTGGACGAGAATCAGTGAAAAGGCGTATTTTCGTAAAGTAATAAGTTTTCACTGATTCCTCACAAAAGACTAAAATAAATCTGTTCAAGGGACATATTGGAACACAGCTAGTGGAAGTAGTAGCATTGTATACCGGTAATAAGTCCTTTTTTATATGTTAAGCAAAGGGGAATTCAGTATGTTGCCTGATGTATAGACAGGGCAACTATGCACCTCAATAGATTAACTTCAAAATCATAGTAATGTTTCATGAACTGAGTGCAGAGCATGCACATTAGAAGACGAAACCCAAATGATTGAGGTTTCATATCTCCCACGATGCTCCAGCCTAATAGAAATATGCAAACAGATGCAGAATAAAATAAGACAATTTATTTATTTATCAAATCGAATGAATTCTTCGAAAAACAGCTGCGCCAGTTGGGTTAAACCGAGGAGCACAATGAGCGTACTCAGCAAAGGTCAAGTCGTCAACCAAACAACCGACCAAGTATTTACAAACTAAACCGTGTATGTTTGTAAGCGATCCTATTTTAACGATTTTGACGACTTTCGATTAGCGATTGCCTATTTAAAGAACAACAAAACGGCTATAGCTAATGAGCTGCCGGCAAACATGACGTTGAAGAGCTGAAAAGGTTCTTCTTTGCAACATATGGTCGGACAAAACAAGCTGGACGATTGGATTTTGAATGTGCTTTGCCCAGTCTATAAAAAGAAGACCCCACGGTCTGCTCCAAATACCTTGGGATCAGGCTATTAAATATCGTATTTAAGGTACTGTCGAGCGTATTGTATGAAAGACTAAAGCTCACCGTCAACAAACTGATTGGAGCTTATCAGTGTGGCATTTGACCTGATTAATCAACCATTGACCAATTAACAATACATCAATCACCTTTCATTAATTTTAAAGCTGCATGTCACAGTCCTTTTCGTATTGGCGACCATGGAACACGTTAACATGCCGTCCGAACGGACGAAAGCACTCCAGCTTTGAAAATTTCCTATGCTATACTCGCTGGTGGAGCAAAGCAAGAGCAAGAGCTTGTCTTTGTTGGATGGTGAGGTGTTGCTGCTTGCACGCGGTATTTAGAAAGACGTGCTTACGCCAATGAAGAAAAAGCATACCAACCCATCATTAAAATTTATGATCTAATAAGAAAAACGAGCTACCAAAATCGGGCAATCTAAAATATATCGCAAAATGAGGTTTACAGGCACATATGACTGGGAAGCTCTTAATTCTTTTCCAAATGTGAGAGGTATTTTGAATTCGCCTGTTTTCCTGCCTAAAATGTACACCACTTACCGCTAATGTTTGCTCCAACGTAAATTTCTCTGCGATCAGTACGTCCTTTTCGCGCGACAATCTATCCTTTGTGACTCTCTCTTGACGAGCGGCATCCTGAAACAAAAACAATAACAGTTATTTATAATTAACCGAAAATAGTTTTGGCTTAAGCGACACTAACCTGCAACGCTTGACATTCCGCATCGAATTTACGCTGCTTCTTCTCCAACAAATTATTACGACCGTTTTGCTCTTCGAGCAACATACGCAAATCATTCATCTCGTTGGTCATTTTTTGTGCTTTGCGCTTCCATTGACCGACAACTTGACGCTGCTCTTCGACTTCTTCGTAGGCATCTGAGAGCTAAGGTTGCGAAACGATATGAAAGATAAATTATATTATACAAATTTAAATAATATATTTTTTTTTTAACACAAGCTTCCTAACCTTCTTCTCCAGCTGTTTCTTAAGACCAACTAACTGCTCTAAGTCGTGTTCGTGTTGTGTTTGTAAACGTCTCTTTGTGAACTCGAGTTCGCGTGCAACACGTTCATATTTTAATTTATAAACACCACTGCCGCCGCCTTCGTCGTTTTCGGGATCCTCATCTTCGGATACGCCATTCAAGTCGGATTTAGCGCATATTAACTCCATTTCCAGCTTCTCGCTGGTCTCTTGTAAATTTTTCACTTTATTTTGCTGCTCGTTAAGTTCCTTTTCGAGTTTTAAGCGTTCCGCAGTTTCGGCTTCAAGTCGCTCGGTGGCGATATTGGCGGTTGAACGCTCTTCGCCGAGATCCACTGCCATTTCGGATAACTGGAATGATTAGGAATGAAAGCAGTTTTTAAGTTAATTTAGAATATGTAAAAATATATAATACAAATACATACATATATAATAATAAAGATCTAAAAATAATTCTAAAAAAAAAAAATTTTCGCTCAATAAAATCTCAATTTACTTTTTAAGTTGATACTAGATTTATAACTTGCGTGGGGTTGAGTGTCTCTAAATATTATTAGCACCTGGCCTTTAAAGAAGTATGTATGCATGTTTCTATATCAAATATATAATAATATAACGGATCTGAAAATATAACGCTGAATCACACATTTTTTTTAATTTTTTCGAAATATTTATGTTTATTAAATTATCTAGAATAATATTCGTAGTGCACATACATACATACGTATGTTTAAATACTGCCTTTATTATGTCTAAGCACTAAAATCTCAGATGACACATTAGTTGGTACTTCTCATGGACATATCTATTTTGACGTAACTTTGTTGTTTTATTGGCAATGTCAAAATCGGCTCATTAAAAATATAAAAACAAAAATTACACAAATAGCATTATTTTTTTTTTTCGCTGGGGAATCCAGAGAAAATACATATATATAAATATATATGGATGGATGTATATGCAAACCTGCTTTCTAAACATTTTGGAAAATTTATGATTGCCCTGGCATTCATCCAACTTTTTTTCTTGTTTTAAAGTAAAAAGAACTTAAAAAATTGTGTCGCTAGTCATGGTTATAACAACGTCAATGTTTGGTGACAAAACAAAGAGTAGAGAAGAAAAAAAGCAACAATAAAAAACGCATTGACGCTAAGGAATGTTAGATTAAAGGTGCCGCCAGATGTAACAATTTTCACGCAATTTTTATTGCCTTCACGTATTTTGCCGTCGAAAAATTTCAATTTTGACTTGTAAGCAGCCTGAAACTGGTTTCTGGAATTTGGTTTCATTTGATTGCAGAAAAAAAATTTCAGTGTGTGACTGCTCTCACTTATCGGCAATTTGATAGCTGCAATTAAATTGGAAAACAATTTTTATTTCTCTTGATTTGAATATTGCCAAAAAAGACTTTTGATGTATTATTATGAACCCCGATTTCATGAAATATTTTATGATACGTATGACTGCACTTGAAATTAAATAACGAAATTCGTCTTTTCGACATTCAATTTGAAATTAAATAATTGCTACGTATGAACGCACCTTAATAGTTGCGCCGATATTCATATAAATATATATTTTTTTAAATATTACATACATATACATATTCCACCCACAATTATTTTTTTTAACTCAGCATTGCCATTCAAAGCATACAAAATTCCTTGCTGACCTAGACCGATTGAAAAGAAGATAAAACAGTTTTCTGCAGTTTTTAAATTCCAATCGGCCTTGCCAATGAAAAATTCTCCATTTTATAAATTGAAATTGTTTGGTCTGTTCAGTCAGTCAATTTGAACCGTTTGCCGTTAAACAGTAGTAGTAAAACTTGGAGTTTAAGAATTAAAATTTTTTCTAAAATTACACTAAATCCTTCTCTCTTTTGGAGCTTAAGTAAACGCAAACCCGTTTTTTAACAGAAAAAAAAAAATATCGCCACCTGTTACTCAAATATTTTGGTACTGAAATGTCCGTTTTGACCATTGTACAACCTCCAAAGTATGCGTTTTTTTGGTTTGAGCTCATAGAGCCGATCAACAGATTGGATGCGTATTTCATTTCAGTAGTCATTAGTGGCTATATTTCACTTGTAAGCGCAGAGTTGCATAAATAAATTTGACAATCGTTAAAAGAAGCCGAAAAGGACAAGGATGCAAAACAAAAAGGGAGTAAGGTTTCTAGTCTCTGCAGTTTTTTTTTTTACAGATCCTCCGGATATTTTAGTAAACTTTAACTTTTTTTGTAACTTTTTTTTTTTAAATGTGCTCTCTAGCTCTATACGCCAGTAATACTTTATTAAAGTGTAAGAAATACTCTTTTATGAGCAATTCAAAATCTCTTATGAAATCGTTTAATTCTTTTAATAAATATAAAATCCGGAGATAGCGACACCAAACGTGTTGTTGCTCCAACATTATTCTAATATTATATAATACATATAAAATTCTCACATTTTGCGGTAATAAAAATCGGCCGACAATTATTTTAAAACCAGGAGGTGGTTCAGAGGCCGATCTATTTGAAAATATTTATTATTTACGACTCGAATTATTGTATAAACATTTCGAGCAATTCGAAAGTGTACCAGGGAGTACAGACCGGATTTGCTCGGTTCTTAAGAATCTTATTTATGTTTCAATTAGCTTGGAATTCCAATTTTTTTCGAGTAGGGGACCTGACACCGATCAATTCGGAAAACGTATTTTTGGTTCGGTTTGCTTGAACTTTTCTTTCCTTAGACGAAAAAACGCGCATAAAAAAATGAAAAAAATGTGCATGTCACAGCTAATGAATGCTCTCTGAAAAAGGAGGACATTTCTAAAGTAATTGGGTGAAAAAATAAAAGCAAGAAAAAAGTGTTGTCTCAGACCATGCTGAAGTCCTTATATCCTAAGTAAAATAAAGCAAGCAAAAAATGCTAAAAAACAGCTCGAACAGTGTTTCTTTGCGTGAACATGGAGCAACCTTTCCATTTCACAACTATCTCCTACCTCATCCATATCGTTATCATCCTCCTCCTGAATTGTGCGATCTTCATCGGTTTCTGAGAATTCGCGTGCCATCGAATTTGAGCGCGAAGTCGGCGTGTGTGGCAGTGTTTTGGCCAATTGAAATGCTTTAGTTAGTATATTTTGCGAGGAACGGGTACGGCCTACCGACGAGCTGCGTTCCATACTATTACGTTCACGTTGACGCTCAATCAAACTAATTGTATCGAAATCATCGTATACTGAGTTGGTGGGCGTAGTGCGGCCACTATCTAAACTACCGGCAACACTTCCCGGCGGACCAACTGAACCTACACGACGTGAACGTTTTCCGAGTGCAGTCCATTCTTCTTGAACGTGATCAGTACGACGTAAAAAGTTTTGTATCTTTTCCGAAAGGTAAGCGGAAGTGGTCCGTGGATCTTCATAAGATGGTGATGGACGCACTGATTGATGCACCGGTTGCTTATTGCAACCCAAAACGAATGAGAGATTTGCATCGAAAACCACTGGTGATTGTTCAAGATTGTGCATTTGATAGACATCAAGTGGATCACCGCGTGTATATGTTTGTGGAAAGACGCGACGTGGCGGTGTTGTTAGACGTGATGGTGTAGAGCGACTTGTTGTAAAGTTGGTTGCATTCGACGTGCTGAGTGATGAGCAACGTGATGAAGTAGACAGTGCTGGGCTAGGTGAACGCTGTGAGATAGTACGCAAACGTTCTGTTGTGCTACTGCGTATAGCATTGCCGCTGGAGCCCGTTGTTGATAGAAAATCTGATTTGGGAAGAGGTAGTTTCAATGAAACCTCAACGGCTGTTTCGTTAGCAGAAGTCGGGATATTGTTATCATTACCGCTGATTCTTGATGACAACGACGACGATGCCGACGAAACAGACGATGAAATGCCGCTACTACCGTAGCCATTACTGATGTGCGACTTAGTTGAATACGAGTTACCGGCAGAGGTTTTGGTAGTGGTGGTGTTGACAAAGGACTTGACATGACGATATTGGTAAGTGGGGGCTTGGTTTTTCACATCAGGTAGTATAAGACCATCCTCAGAATCGTAATTTTGTTGCGCACGACGCAAGCTACGTCCAACTGTAGTCGAACTCGATACGCTGCTGCTGGTATTTCCGCTGCGTTCGCGTTGTTTCGACAGCGAATCGACTTGCTTTCGTGCACGCTGTTGCGATTGTGGTGGTACGGGAGGACGTGAGGAAGCATTGGTACTAACAGAGGCATTAGATGACAGCGAGGACGTACTACCACCGCCATTACTCAACGGATTTGGGTAATCACCGTCATTAGTGGTAGGTGGTGGCGAGAAAGGTCCATTAGCCGTGCTTGGGGACGATGAATTTGTGGTGTTTGTTTTAGACGACAATACAAAGGTGCTGGGTTTAAGGAGACCGGTTGAGCTTTGTGGTTTCGAACTACGCATAGCTTCTAGGACACGCTCTAAAAATTTAGAATTATCTATAGGTTTTTCATTGGCACTCTTTATGTGGCATGAGGTGGCTTGTTTGACTGAAACATTTACTGGTGATTGGGTATTGATGGTCTGGGTTTTAGTCAAAGACAGTGACTTTTTTGTAGTGTAAATAACAGTGTTGCCATTTATTTGATTTGTTTCTGTGTTCGTTGATGTGGAATTTGTCTGACTTTGTGTTTTAGTTGTTTCAAAAGAGCCTAGGGCGTTGGTAAGCTTTTTGGAACTAGACGTTTCTGTGGTGGATGAGATTTTCGATGGATTTTTTGCTATTGTGGTATCTGTTTTCGAAGCAGACTTTTTGATTGACTTCTTTGTCGTTGAGGCGTCACCGTTGTCATTGGTAATAGTAGAAGAAATCTTGTTTTTGCTTGTAGATTTTGTTAAACCACTTTTGGTTGACTTGGTGCTTTTCTTAGCATCTACGGGTTGAACAGTATCGCCTTGTTGAGCTGTAGATATTAGCCGAGATTTAAGTGTATTTTCAGACTTTCCAACACCATTCGTGATACTTCCTTGTACAGCAATAATTTTAGGACTAACGCTGCTTGAGGTCGTGGTAAATGGTTTCTCCTCTGCGGAGTTCACCTGTTTTTCTATTGAGGATGAAACTGTTGTTTTAGTAGTGTTGTTGGCATTTGGTGGATTGCCTCCATCAGTGTCACACTGACGTTCTGTGGTCAGTACAAGTGGGGGTTGTAGTGGCGCCATTTTTCTGATTGGTGCCGATTTTGGTGAGGCTAAATCTTTATTGTGTGTTGTATTAGTGATGTGGGGCATGCTGTATTGGGCTCATTGAGTTTTAATTTGAACAGCCCTGTCAGAATGTATTATATGTAGAATATATGTACAATACATACATACATC